TATCGAGGTACAAAGCGAGATCATCCACCGGATTTCTCTAGAATCCAAATCTAATGAAGAACACCAAGAGAACTCGTGGTGGCTGCTCCTTATGATAAAACTAACCTAAATATTTCGGCATACCCCTAACAAGAGGCTAAAAACAAGTATATATAGGCTTAGGGTCTTCTAGGGCTTAGTTTAGGACAAAACGGTCTTTTACGTCAAAACTGCTCCAATGTTGGTCACTAGTATCGGTCCAAAGTCGTGACCGGTACTGGGAGTTAAATGACCTCTCTTGTGTGCTGGCATCGGCTAGAATATCGGTCCACGGTGCAGGCCGTTATTTGGCCCAATATTGGCCTTGCTTCAGCTTTGAACCAGCTCGACATGTCTTCAGTAAATCTGCTGACTTCGACGGAGGTGATGGTCGGAGTACGATTCCAAAGCTTTGATCTGGATTTGGGTTCTTCCCATGTTGTTATGTGGTTAGTTTCTGATTTGGATCGGGCTGTGGTATATATGCAAGCGGTGTTTTTGTTGGTCTTTGTTGGTTTTTATTGTGTAGAGATTGGATCCTTCCAATTAGAAATAGAATTTACCCTAGTGCTTCTACTCTGGATTTCTCTCCTCTTCGATATAAGTGGTTAAAGTTGCTTTATGTCATTTGTTTAGGTTCGCCATTTCGTTAGAAGTTTGTTGTGGAGCATCTACTTGGCCTTCTCTTTGGCCTTTGGGTTTTGGAGAGGTTTTAAAGTCAAGCAGTGAACTTGTTCTATGGCTCTTTCCTTTTCGTGAAGGTGATCTTCCTCTAGTATGTAGATGGCTAAGGTTGGTTCACGAGGGTCCGTGTTAAGAGTTGTAGATCCTATTTGGTGTTTTCTTTTCATCGGTCATTGCTTGCATTTAGCCTATATTCACTCTGGTTATCCTGTCTTCGGGGTTGGTTGGGTCTGAGTAGCTTCCTATCTGCTATAGACTGTGCTGTTCTAGCGTTGTCATTTATACGGTTCTGTAGTTGGTGGAGCGTGATTCTTCTTTCGTCTACAAGATTTCCAGGATGTCTAGTTTGTTTTCGGATGCTTTTGATGTCTCGTTTTGTCTCATGTTTTGTTTTGGCTCAGTTCTGCATTTACTTGTTTGGTCTCTGGGGATTTTGTTAGAGTGTTGAGGTTTGACAGATTGGTTTTAGTTGTTAGGTTATCTTTTTTTTATTGGTTCCCTCTCTCTTTTGGTATTAGTCTTTTGTATTCGATGTGATGATTACTCCCCTCTAGTTGGATGGGGCTCTCTTGTGGAGAGAGCTTGTACTACTACTTTGTATTTCAATTTTGTGATCTTTAATAAATTCACCAGATTAAAAAAAAAAAAGTCTTTGTCAACCAAACTTGATTGAATAATAAAAAAACATCATGTTTTTATAAATGTTTTGCCAATCAAACAGTTAATTATTAGTTAATTAATGACATACTGATGACATAATATACAAACAGCTAGACTTTGGGGGCGTATTGGATGTGAAATTTTAATGGATTTGGTGGAGTTTATAAAATCTCATGTTATTGAACATGGAGTTGATGTAAAATATATCAAAATAATATACAATCTCTTGTTATTTAACTTATGATTTGTTAAACTCATATACAATTCCTTGTTATTCGAAAGTAAACAATTTTAAAAAAAAAAAATTTTAAGAGATTTGAAATTCATTTTTAGTTATAAATTAGGTTTAAGAAATTACATCTCTAAAGATGTGATTTGCACTAAAGACAAAAAAAAGTATCTTTTATAATATATTTTTCTTCTTTTTTGTCGTTGATTAGCCG